GAACCCCCCCCCCCCCCAAAAAAAAAAAAAAAAAAAAAAACACAAACACAAAAAAAGAACCCCTCTTGTTATAAAAATGCACTTACCAGTGGGCATCAAGAAATGGCCCAAACGCTACACTAGTAGTTGAGGTAAATTAATTACACCAAATCCTAGTAAGTGCCATAATATTATCGAATTTTGTTACCTTATTAGCAAGAATGTTCACCGTTCCATGGTTTGAAGATAGATCAGCTGATAAAATGCATGGAGGAAGTTGGAATTGAACAGAGACCGAATCAACTGTCTTTCCAGGATCATTTCGTATTCCAACTAACACATTAATACGGCACGTCCCAGAATCCGAAGTTAGCTGTGGCTTTACGTATATCGGAATACCCTTCAACTTGTTAACCCTGTAAGTGGACGAAGATAATTTAGACAGCTTATGTTAGTGTTAGCTAAAATAGCGAACAAACATGTTGAGAACCTGTTTCCAGAATGACCATTCATGCAGAAGCTCATGTGCATGAATGGATGTTCCCTTGTGATAAAAGTAAGCTTCTCCACCACTGAATTTCACTTAAAGGTTCAAGACAAATAGGCAAAAATATCACCTTGATAGTCATACCTGTAACTCATGAGCTTAAACTGTCCATCTGGAGGAACAAAAGACAAAATTTGGTTTGATTCCCACGGACGAAACCGAACACAGGGATGAAATCTCACATCATTCAGGATGGAAGGATTTGCAAATGAAAGAGTCAAATCAGGAAGACCTGAAAGATGGGAGTTCACTTGAACCTCACCATATATCTCACATTTCACCATGACCCCATCCCTGAACAGCATAAGACAAATAAATTGGTTAACCCTACCACGTGCATAGTACAACCAGCAGTTATAAAACATTTCAAACATTTAAATGGTAAGCAACCACACAAGAAAGTTTCTAAAATATAAAATTGCAAGTGTAACAACTTTAAAGCTCCCCAACTGAATGCACCATTACGCAAAGGAGGTCTGGTATTTAAACAATAGCAGAAACAACAGGAAAAGTAATTCTAAATGCCAGCTCATCCAAAGACATGCTTGTGCGGGCAGATTAAACACCTAAGAACCTTCAAAAGAGGAGCGAAAGCCATATGAAGAACCATCAAACACCAAAAAGAAACATTCAGAACTCCAAATATTAAATTCAAAATCAAGATCATTGGTGACAAGGTCGTCTATGTTGCTGTGCAACTGGTATGATGCACACCTGAAAATTCTTGGATATAGTGACTCAAACATTTGCACACTTTCAGCGGATATGATTGATGTTCCATAAAATAAAGCATGCCAATAAATTTCCCCATCAAAAAGGGGTAAGAAGAATAAAAACAAGAACCTTTCAGAAGAGACAATTCTAAGAATTGATCTGCTACTCATTCTCAATCTCTCTACTACAAAGATCTCGCCTTTCAAGAAAAGAGATCATTCAATCACTGAATTCACAAAGCTCCCCCCAGCTAAAACTTGATCACAAAATTGTCAATGATGGCGAATCAGTTAGCTTGCTCTCTCATCGAAATCCCTTTGATGTTTATCTTTGAGATCTTCATTTCTTCAACAAAAACATCTAGCAACTTATACACCAACAACTTAGTGTTGTCAGACAAATGAGGAAAACCACTCTCCATTCCACATAATACTGGTTGAAAGAGAGAGTACTTCTATATAAGTTTTTTAACGTAGCAATTATACACACTTAGTATGGTTGCACCTTTGTGGCTAGTTTCTGGTTCTTTACCTTTATAGGTTTTATTCTCAGTTGAAAGACAAGGTACTCCAACATAAGATTTCTACTTATCAATTATCCCATTGCGCATGTTTGTTTGGTTAAAAATGTTGTAATGCCCTAAGGGGCCATGGCCTTCCCTGTGCTTTTCAAAACTCCAATTTTCAACCACTTCTTGAACAATAGCTCCTGTCTTCCCGGATGGAAAGGCTTCTCCAACCCCCAAAAAAAATTCAGGATTTTGGTAGATCCTGGTTCCATCTCTAATCGAACCTACATGTGGCTTGGTATGTTTCTTTACTTGCATAGGGTTTATTATTTTACTTCTAATTTTAGCCTTGGTAGCTTGGAGGACCTAATATCTACCTCTAAAATTCCATCATCCCTAGCATATATATGTTTTTTATTTTATTAAAACTGTCAAAGAAGATGTTATGGGTGTGTGGCACAACAGAGAGATCCCACAAGAATGTAGAATCAAACTTTAGGTCTCCACCATCTATACGCAAATTCTAATCTAACTCAACAACTAGAAATGAACATGACACATTTAAAGGAATTTAGTGCTTGCCTGTTTATAATTGCATCCATTTCTTCAACCAAATCAACATAAACTTCATTTTTTGCATGCTTCAGGTCTGTTGTTCTCCATGGGACACAAGATGCTGTCGCACCGGGAAGGTTATTGCTCATGTTGGAACTGTTACCGGTCACAACACTCAACATTTTACTAACAATATTTGGAGGAGCAATCATCTCTCTTAGGATATTAGGTTCTGTTGTGAGAGGGAAGCCATTGTCTATCATCTCATCCAACAGCTGTAAATTGCAACAACCCAACAAAAATACGAGTTATTTTCAACTAATAAACCTGAATAGCATGAGAGAATAAGTACCAAATGTTAATCTTAAGATCAGGAAATGGGCAAAAGGTGGAGAGGCTGTGGGCACAATACATAGGCCCAAAGTTTTATGTCATTTATATTTTATGTTTAGAAAAAATCCTGGAGACTTGGAAGATCAAGATAATCCATACTAACAAATCATCTATTAAAATAGGAGTTTGGTAGGAAATTGATTATAATTGACTAATTTCTTGAGGTCTTGTTATAAATCTTAGCCTAAATCTATGGTCATGATGCTTCAAAGATCAAGTTCCAAAACTTCAAGGAATGGAGGAGTTCAAGCTTCAAAGCCGTATCGAAAGATCTCCAACGCACTTTCAAAGAGCTTAGGACAAAGGTAATGACCTTAGAAACCTAAAAACTCTTGGACCAAGAGTCATGGTTTAATTTTAAACTTAGAATGATTAGTGTTAAATGGAATCAAATTTAAGAATATCTGTAAATTACTCTTAAGCTTTTAGGAAAAAGTTTTTCTAAACATAAAAATTTGTTTTGAAAATATAGGTTGAATCACAAATCGAATCCTATTTGAGCAGCACTCCTTAGTCCTTAATAGATAAACTTTTTGCTTGGTTTCCCACTTAAAACTAGTAGGGGCNGAAAATATAGGTTGAATCACAAATCGAATCCTATTTGAGCAGCACTCCTTAGTCCTAAATAGATAAACTTTTTGCTTGGTTTCCCACTTAAAACTAGTAGGGGCTGCCCTCTATTTGCTCTCCTTCGGCTAGATCGGTCTCTAAACACTTAGATAATAATCGAAGGCAGCAATTCAAGCAAGCAGTGGAGACATCTCTCGTTGGCCGCTTGTAGATCACTCGTCATCATTCGAGCGGTCCCTACTGGACTAACTTGGTTTGAATCTTTTTTTCATTCTAGTGATTACCGCTCTCCGACAGCTTGAACAATGCTTCGCGAATTTCAGTTTTCTTAGTCTCCCAAGGCTACTCTAATCCCGGGATCTATAAATTGCAAACGCCTCTTTCCACCTAGGGTTAGCCTATGAGCTAAAAAAAGCCTAAAACTTTTTAGAGAGCTTCAAAAACAACTCTAGATCCCTAAATCCTAAAAGGCCAAATCATCTTGATTCTTCCTATTCAATTTTACACATTTGAGAGAGTTGAAATAGTAACTCTAGGGTTAGGGTTAGAAGAGAATGAGAAACAATAATGAGAGACATAATGAGAGAATAATTAGTTTATAGCTAGGTTGCCCTACACTCCCTATTTAAAACTGAACAAATATTACCCTACTCTAATTAACTTAAGTTTATTTACTTTTCTTTGAATTGTTTGAAAATTAAAAAAAAAAAAAAGCATCAAAAAAGTGTCTTTAATGTCTAGTTGGATATCGTCGTGAAATTTGCTCCTAGTTGCTTTATTTTTCCTTGTTGATGCATGTTATGCATATTTTCTGTTTTTAAAGTATTTTAAAAAATACAAAGACATTGAAAAGGAAAAAGCAAAAAGATTTTCTTTTGTTAATTTTAGTTGTTAATAATGGTAATCCCATTTTGATTCGGATTGTAGCTTTTCCGTCATTAAATCAAAATTGAAGTGAATTATTATGAGCCATATTAGGGGATAGAAAACTTACTGGTTATGAGTCTGAGAACTTGATACTTAAACCAATTCTTTTCACCCTAACGTGTTTGGATAGTGTTAATTCTTTAAAAAATTCATAAAACCAAGTACACGCCTAACCAATCACCTTTATTGACTAAGTTTTGTTTGCTTAAGTTATTAATGACCTTACGTGACTTTAAGTGTTGGTGATGTATGAACACAAAGCTAAAGATGTCAAAGAGCTGGCTGTGAGAAACGTGTTCGATGTAACCAAATCTAAAAAGGTAAGACATGAAAAGAATGGTTAGTGTCGATGACATTTAAATTGTTAAAAGTACTATATACTTAATTGTAATTGCTCACATATAAAGCTCAAAGAGCTATCCTACACACATCTTAGAAGCATTATTTGAAATGTATGGAATTCGCACTCGTGTTTATTGAGACCATTAAGAGTTGAAGGAATGTAAAAACAGGGAGTGTCTAAAAAGAAGAGAAAAAGAAAAATAAATGTAGGACCCTCCCTAACCAGTTATATATTTACTTAGACAATGTATTAGAAATTCATGGAGAGCTTTATTAGTAATTTAATCTAGTCAGATTCCTAATTGTATCGGAGTTTGGTTTCATAACACTTAACACGTGGGTTGATCAAAGAAAGACAAAATTTGAACACGTGTGAGTGATCGTAGAAATCAGACTAAGTGAAGGAAAATTGTTCTAATGATGCATGACAATTGAGTGCTAAATTCATTAATATGACTTAAGAGTAATGTGTGGAAATGGTGAAATAGGTATGGGTCTACTATTTGATGGATAAATGTGATTTTCATGACTAATAACATTGTGCATTTTACTTTCAAATTGAAAAATGTATGACACTTTAGATCCCAATTTCATCCATGAATGTGTACATAGTTACGTTTAATCATGTACATACAATCAATGCATGTTTTAGAGACTCAATGAGTTTATAGGAGTAGAGGAGTTGTAATTGTCCGTTAGTGAGCTGATTGCTGATCTGTTAGTTGGACAAACATGGTTCAAGAACTGCTCGAACGGCCTACACATGGCTCGAGCGGTCTTCCTAAAGTACAGGCAATAGGAGTTAATACTTCAATTTTTAGATCCCTCTTCTTTCCGACACGAGCCTATCTTTTTTCATAACCTTATTCATCACCTATTTTGCTAAATGTTTTAAACAAAGACTAGGAATGATCGCTTGAGATTCCTCGTTATGTCAACAGTGGTGATGATATGGCTATAAGAACTATTGATTTTGGAGACTTAGATCTAAGACTTAATGGGAGCTTGAGAATTTTTCTATTTTGTTCATTGTCCATGATGAAGTATTCTGTTTTTATTTGTTTTGAATTTTACTTTCTTTTTTTTTATGACACACTATTAGTCTCCATGCTTTATTGTTGGATGTTTCAGACTTTGTAGTTATATGTCATGTTTGCCTATTCTTGTTCTACTTTGCCTATCATTGATGATGCTAAATGCTATGACATGCTTATCTCCTTTATATCATGGTTCTCTACTTTAATTGGTTTGTTTGTGTCTGAAACTTTTTAACAAAATAGGAGAAATTTTTTGGGGGAGAATTGGGGTAGTTGGAAGAAATTTCTATGACTAGCTAGGGATTAGTTATATGAGAATAAGTAAGAGTGAGTTTACTGAAAATACTCAGGGTCATACATATACATACTTGGCATAAAGACACTTTATTCTCTTTATTATTTACTTGTGTTAACACCAACTAAGGGGGAGAACTTACTTTGAATAGTTTTTGTTAAATTTATAAGTTCTCAAGCACAATTGGCTAGCATAGCTTATATATGTTGCATAAATTGCACTTGCATGATGCTAACATGAATATGTCTAGTTGCTTCTCTTTGTGATTTTCATAATTGTGATTATATTATGTCATTTACATATATGATACTTTTAAGGTATTGGTTGAACTATTGTGTGCAAGACTATGATCTTCAAAGGAACATCAAGAAGATAGTTTTATGCATAAATTGAAATTATGGGACTTGTACATGAGTGTTGAGATCGTTTTACAATTTTCTTTGTTTTTTATGGTTCTTGAGTTGTAATATTGAATTTTTTACTCTTGTATTTTTTCACGAAATTACAAATGCAGAAATTGGCAGCAAATTGATTGTAATTGGCTAATTNTTGAGATCGTTTTACAATTTTCTTTGTTTTTTATGGTTCTTGAGTTGTAATATTGATTTTTTACTCTTGTATTTTTTCACGAAATTACAAATGGAGAAATTGGCAGCAAATTGATTGTAATTGGCTAATTTTTTAAATTCTTGTTGTAAATCTCAACCTAAATCCATAGTTATGATGCTTTAAAGTTCAAGTTTTAAAAGTTTCAAGGAAGTGAGGAGTTCAAGCTTCAAAGCCGTATCAAGAGATCCCAACTGCGCCTTCAAGAGCTTAAAATAAAGGTAATGACCTAGATATCTAAGAACTCTTGGTTTAATTTTAGGCTTTGACTAATTAGGTTAATGGAATTGGATTTAAGAATATCTGAATGACTCGTAGCCTTTCATGAAAAAAATTTCCAAACATCAACATGTCAATATAGGTTGAGTTATGAATTTGATTTTATTTGAGCAACACTCCTTAGTGTTGAAGAGATAAAATTTTTGCTTAGTTTCTAGCTTAAACACCAATAAGGAGAGCCCTCTGCTCGCCCACCTTCGGCTAGAGCAGTCTCTGAACACTTAAGAAAAAATCGAAAGAGACAATTTAGACAGTGACAATTCTATAAGCCGCTCATTGGCCGTTTGTAGACCACTTGCCACCGCTCAAGCGCTCCCTGCTGGACTAGCCTGATTTGAATCCTTTTTTCATTCCAGTTATGTTCACCCTTTGACCGCTCTCTCACAGCTTAAGAGGTGATTTGCGAATTTCAATTTTTTAGGTCTCCAAGAATGCTCTAATTTCGGAGTCTATAAATAGGGCACACCTCTTTCCACCTAGGGTAAGCCTCTATGAGATAGAAAAGACCCACAATTTTCTAGAAAACTTCAAGAACAACCCTAAATCCTAATCCTTAAGATCCAAAAGGTCAAACCATCTTGATCTTTTCTATTCAACTTCACCCATTGGAGAAAAAGATTCCACTTGGTGTTCTACAAAATTCACATTGATGTGTGCATACCGAGAATCTTAGTTACATCCTATAAGACTGGTTGAGGCCTGTACGATTCACTGTGGTGAGCACGTCTAAGTGAAGTTACTCAAAACTTCAGTGAGTGATAACCGGCTAAGAGATTTGTAATGGAAAGGAACATCTAACCATAGGTATTGGTTAATGTATAAGACTCGAGTACTTGTAATTGACTTTGAAGTAGTAGATTAGTTTCTTGGTGAACCGAGATCGGTACCACAGTTTTTCCCAATGAGGGTTTCCGCGTCAACAAATTGTTTGTATTGTGTTGATCTTTTCTTGCTTTAATCTTCATACACACTTGCAATAGCAAACACAGACAAAAGGCGTTTGGTGGAAAAATTGTTTAAATTCTCGATTTGACATATCCATCGATTGAGTTATATGGAAGTTGACATTTTTGGAGGTATCAAAGGAGTGATTGATTGGATTGTTGAGTTGTTGATTGCATACATAATTTCATCCATTCATTCACATGGCAGGTTGTTCTTGTTGG